CTTAGTGTATTTGCCCCGACTTGACGGCGTTGTCGGTAAAAAGGAGCGTCGCCAACATTTATTGTATCCTTGCTCGTGGCAAAATCAGCAAGATAGCACCATTTTCTCAACACTCCAGAACCCGCGCTGGGCTTGTTGCACCCATGTGCCCAACCACCATAGTTTACATCCCGGATGACGCCTCTGGCACATAGTAAAAATGAATGCGCATCGTCTGCGGTCACGACAAAAGCGGGGCACCCGCTGGTCGCGAAGCAATGCACAACTTTGGCCAGCGCTCGAGCATATCGCTTAGCTCTTTCAACAAAACACGCGCAGGCGACCTATCAAAGCAGTGGCGTAAAACGGTTTGGACCGCTGTAGGCCCTGACTACTCTAGTCCTTGAAGAAACACCATGCCAACCCTTCGATGCCGTCGTTGACGCTCTCAAAAACCATTTTCGTTTCTTTCCCAGATTTCTTCTCAATGATTGAGAGAGAAAAACTATATCGGTTACCCTCGTGGTTCTGGCAAAAGCTCTAGCTTCAAACACACAGACGGCGTTTTTGAGCACCGTTAGTTTCGACGCATCCTCCAAACGTCCTGGCCACCTATGTTTCTCGCGTATGTAGCACAGGGTGCCTCTATGAGCACGCCCAACCCGTGTCTTTATGGAAATCCGCCATCACCACGGCTCACCTCCACTCTTCGTACCCGTACCCCTTGGGATTCAGCTGTACCACGCAGTGCATGGGGATCTTGAGGTGTGGGCACTGGGCAGGCTCGACCCCCTTCAAGTACCTGAGGGAATACAAACGAGGAAGCAAGCCAGCGGTGGTCAAAAGCGTTGTGCTCTTTGTCATCATACTTGGAAGTAATGCACTTTGCGTTTACGCCGTAGAGTGATCCGGCTTTTCCACGGCGGTACTGCCGAACAGAGGAACTCACCAAAGGGTACAACCGCCAGTCTATAACGGTAAAACGGCAAATGGGCTGGCTGGATAGCGATGGCAAACAGGCAGTTTGTTGAACGCACCCCGTTGAATGAAAATGATGACGTCACACCCGTCCCTATTCTTTCCGGTTACGCTTGTCTTGCTCTCTTTTGTTTTTGTTTAGTCTACGCCACTTGATCCTGTGGGGATCTACGTTCCTCCCAAGGAGATCGCCGTGTGACACATGACTTCTCGTCGTAAAAAATAAACCTGGGTCGCCATGAACACCATCGGCGAAGGGGAACAGCAAGCACGTCAAACGCGTTCTGGAGGAACATCGGAAAGACACGCTCACACCAAGCACCGGTCAAGCATTGTGGAAAACACCGATTTTTGTTCGTTCGCCTGTGACCACAGTATTACGCGGCCTCTTAACGGAAAGCTAGTGCCACGGAACAGGAAAAAGGAAACACACGAGGTACGTAGCATTAGATCAACAGACGACATATACACAACCACCACAACAGACGACGATGTCGAAAGCGAAACCAGCAACAAAGACACAACACCAACTAGGACTACAACGACGACGACGACGACGACGACGACGACGACGACGACAACAAGAATAAGAACAAAACATTAATCTTACCCGTAGATCACCCGAAGCACAGCGAGGTGCGCGACCACGACAACGGGCTGAGGCTCCGCAACCATCTCGAGCAAGAGAGACTCCAGTCGCGCGAACACGTCCCTGTAGTTCTCTCCGTCAGGGAACTGAAAAAACGCAAACAGCAGCAAAATAGAATTAGGGATAGGTGCAAATCATACCACACAAGAAAGGAAAAATTTGCCTTAACCACGGTGATAAGAGGTCCGGGTGGGGTGAGAGCTTGCGGTAGGTTGCGTAAGATACCACACATCTTGGATCGAATTTCAAAGCCCAACTACTCGACGGCGACGATGATGCCAATATCAAATGACGCGTCCGAAAGCTCTCAACGAGGCAGTAAAGTAGTTCCTACGCCACCATTTTCGGCACCATCGTCGCTGTTTTCGCTGCAAAGTAATCGCGCTTTTGAAATCGATCAAAGCGACCCACGGTAGGTGCATGGTGATTCATCGAAAGTCTAGTTGGTTCTTCGCCTCCCTGAGGGGCACAACAACAGCCGCAGGAGCACGCACCTCCCGGGTACGCAGGCGGCCGGACTGCTGCACGAGCGCCGTGAACGCGATTCTTGCCTAAAACCGAGTCCAAACAGGTGCGGTTACACACCCTCAAGCACGAAAAATCTAGTAAGAGCCGAGAGGCCACAGCAGCATCACACATGCAACAAACGATAATGAAAGCGAGACACATGACTATGCTTCAACAGGACCGACCCCCACTGCCGTCTGTTGTTCAGGGAAACGCATGTCTGGGCGGGATAGCAGTAATACACAAGGGCAGACATAAGTTGGTTTCGAACAAGGGTAAAGCGGGCATGCTCACCTCACATCCCCGAATTTCGCGGCCAAATAAATAGTCCAAAATTGGTATAACCCTAGTACCCTGGAGCCCGTCCCCCCCCACCCCCTCGGCACACACCATGGCTAATAAGACTCATTTTGGTCACACCGCGGCACGCGCACCTTAACGTTAAGCTTGTCGGCCACTCTCTTCTTGTGTTGCTCGGGGAAGTGCTGCCGTTGTCATCAGCAGTACAGCAACCATCGCGTTGTGTATTTATCGCCGGTGCAATCCATTCCGTCCACGGGACGATGTTCATCCGTTGTATTGGTTCCGAGTCGTTGTTGACACGGTTGTTGTATGTTTGCGTCGTGTTCCACCGGGCGTTGTCGACCGAGTGCATGGGATGGGATGACGGCATGGGATGGCGGGATGGTCTGTCAACAGATAATATAGTGTTGTCGTTCATTCTCATGTTCTTATCGGCGTCGTCTTCGTCGTTGCTCCAGCCGTCTCCACAATGACGCTCCGCTGCGACCTCAACGCAGAACTTTTCCCATGCACGGAACTCGTATAAGCATGGACGGCCGGCTCCTTCCCGCGGTTGCTTGTCTAGGCTCACGAACGCATCAAGTAACGGATGGAACCTTCACCAAACTGTACATAGATCAATGCATAGGTCCGACTCATCCTCGGAAGCATGAAAACAACGCTACGGGTGAGGCAGTCATACGCCACCGTTACAGCACCACAAGAGCGGTTGGAGATTACAGGGGAACACACACGGTAGTGGCCCGCACAACCACGACTCGCCTTCGCGAAATCTTCGGCATACATTCCCTCCAAAGCCCCTGCATCGATCTGTCGCAGGTGACAAAAAACAACGCACACACACCAAGGCAGCACGTACGGAAGGACGGAGGGACGGGATGAACGAGTCCGGCAAAGAAGACTCCCTCACAAAACAGGCGCACCATACACGATAATACCCTGCAGATGCATAGGCAGGCCTGCTTTAACTTCCGTACCGGCAGACGCGCCGTCGTGCATGGCATGTGAATGTTTGGCGTGTCTTGCAACAATCAATCACCATCCGGTATCCTCTCTCCCACATCGCCTGTCTTCGTTTCCTTGCCTCCTGCCTACAGCGACCCTGCTACCCTCATCTTGCCGCACACAACCCGAAATGGAAGAAAGCGTGGAGCAGCGGCGTGATGACAATACCACCTCTCAGCGCCTGTGGAGGAAAGTCACCGGTAACATTTAACATATACATTGTGGAGCGGATGCTTCTGAGGGAGTTCCCAGCAAAACAGAATGCCCCGGACACAAGTCCTCAACCGAACCGCAATCGTATCATCGACATTATAACCTGCCAGAGCGGGGGGCTACAAAGTCGGGCGCGAGCCAAGCAAAGAACCCCTTAATCCTCAAACACGCTGGGACGAGCCTCTCGCGCGCGGACCGCACCACAAACGGACCTACGTACCTCGTCTAGAGCGGACACCTCCAGCACGTCCAAGTCGCGCAGCAGGGAGCCTGACCCCTTGCCACGACGACCGTCCCCGCCGCCGCCGCCGCCGCCGTCACCCTGGCTTTCGTCCTCACTGTCCCCTCCCTCTGCGATTGCCTCCTCGTTGGCGTCGTTGACGGCAGACTGCAGGCCGATCACTGTTTGTCTCGCTCGTAACCTGATGATGATGATGATGATGATGATGATGCCGACGCAAAGGGAGTCAGAGGCAAGGGTAAGGCTTGTCCTCCGGTGTTGCGTGCCGGGTCCTACATACAACAGGCGTGCACATGTGCACATGGCCGTGATTTGGGATTGTATTCAAAGTGTCGTGTTTTCTGTTGTTGTTGTTGTTGTTGTTGTTGTTGTTGTTGCTGTTGTGGGTTCGTACGGGATTATCACGGTCAACGGGCCACTTCGAAAGGGTGGGGATGGGCTGTTGGCTGTTGGTAGCCACCGCCGTGTGGAGGTCGATCGGCGATGGTCGTCCATCATGTTAGCTTCACTGGAACCCTCTAGATACACCACGCAAGCTAGGTCTCAACATGGCGGCAAAGTGTTTCGTGTATTGGCATGCCTTACATTGCCATTGCCATTGGCAAACAATTTGGTAATACAACGCACAGCTGGGTCCTACACTTAAGTCCACTAGTCTTTGCCCTACGGATGGTGGCGACGGATAAGAAACAGAGCCTCGACCCGATTTTTTTCGTTTCTTGCACAATAACCTTCGACAAAGTGGTGAAATAAATACGGGCAATCCACATTACACAGCTGTGTGATGGCTGCATGCAACGATACGTGCTGAACATGTGGTATGATAACAAGTGGAATCGCCAACAAAGACGCTGGGTCTGGGGTGTTGCTTGTTTTTGTTTTGGGTATTTTTTATTTTTCAAGTTTGTTCGGGGACGCAAAATGGAAGGTTTCTAATTAATTCCATGTGGGATGAAGCTCGGGCCGCGTGTAGTTCACTGGGTAGAACAACTTGGGCTAGGCGTGATTCGCACCCACTTCGGTATGCGGGAGAGTACGTACGTCGCGCAAACATTGCACCAGATAACACTTACGTATGGTATTCCAACCGTTCTAAATAAATGATGAGTCACAAACAAATACCACAAACGAGCCCGGCAGATTCCCGCCTGCTTTTTTGTATTTTCTGGTCCGTCGGACGCACCAACAGTGGGCTCGGGCTGTGGCACATACATACACGTCTGTTTCACTACATTAGTTAGAAGTAGTCTGTTTTTCCGTCTCTCTGCCTGCACAGAAGGGAAAACTTCGAGCCAAACATATATCATTCACAACGTATGCATATGAGACCAGAGCGGTAGGGGTACACAGAGACGCAAACCTGTGAGTAGCACAGAAAAACCTATACAGCACTTCGTGGTGAGCGGTGGGGGTACACCGAAGAAGCGACTTGTGGATCCAGGTTAACCGTTCAGTGTCAAACCGGGGACCTACACACAGAGCCGGATTAAATTATTGTGCATAAACCTTTACTACACAGAAGCGACGGCGTGATGAGCGGTGGGGTACACGAAGGAAGTGACTTTTGAATAAGTGCAGAAACCTACACAGCCGTTAAGTTGTCAAACCGGGGACCTACACACAGAGCCGGAATAAATTATTGTGCAAAAACCTTTACTACACAGAAGCGACGGCGTGATGAGCGGTGGGGTACACGAAGGAAGTGACTTTTGAATAAGTGCAGAAACCTACACAGCCGTTAAGTTGTCAAACCGGGGACCTACACACAGAGCCGGATATAATTAACGTATACATTTTCAAGTCAATGAGCAATTTCCAACATCGGGCTGACGATATTCCGAGTGACCATGTGGGCGCCGAGTCCAGGTTACGGAAGCGGTGGGGGCCGGGAGGCGACAAATGGTAGGGGCAACACAAACTGCACGCAAGAGCAGTTCGTTCATGCTGCACGTTACAAAACATTTCGACATGAACCGTTTCGAAAAAGGCAAGCCTGCACCTTTCTACAACCAGCCAGTGACACCAAATGCAAAGAGTGTGCTACCACAAGAGTCTCGGCGACGCCCGACTTCGTCACCAAACAGTAGAGGGGTTCGAGAGACGACCCCCCGCCATGCAACAACACTGTTTGGCGTGCATGCGAACCGGGGAAGCCAATAAACTGTCTTCGCCGTACGTCGCGATCTGCGTCGGCGCGTGCCAACTCACCGGGTGGAAGTCCAGACTACGGGAAGGATGCCGTACCGCTTGCGGCCCTGGAGGAGAAAAATAACACGAGAGACGAGGGAAAAATATTGAAGAGATGGGGGGGGGGGTCAGGATCCTCTAGTGCGATTCAGTTTTTACACAGGACCGACGACATCCGCCGCCTGCTGTGGTCCATGTTCGTGCATGCATTCCAGGATGAAACACGTGCGAGTGCGGAGCACCTTGCCACCATCAGCGGCGGTAGCAACAACGACAACAACAACAACAACGACGACGACGAGGACGACCACAGCAAGACCCCCGGCACTGACTCGGGAATCAACAGGAGCACCACGGCCAACAACAACGACAAAAAGGCGTGACAGCAAAGCACGAAACCGACATACCTGGAGCAATCCTCGAGCCAAAGCCTCGGCATACAAGTGCCCCACAGGGGTGAGCCGGCTGTCGCCTCCGATCCGCCCCTGAGCCTCGAACTCGCACTCCCCGCAACGAGTCAGGAGGATGGGTCTCAAGCTGAGGCGGAGACTATCTATCAGCTGTAGTAGGGGGCAGGGACGGGGGGGAGAGCCCCAGGAAATGTAGGGGTGCCCCGGCAAATCAGGAGAGGCGGGGTCTCGAGCTTGGGCGGAACCGGGGTTGGTTGCCAGGCGGAGTGGCAACCTGGCGGAGAGGGTGTCGGATTGGCTCGCTTGCCGACGACAAACGAAGCTGCACCCGAAAAGGACACCGACACCACCGTCACCACCAACAACAACAACAACAACACCACAGTCGACAGCAGCGAAACAAAGACATCAACACCCCCGTTCCTTCTCGGAGGGGACGCGCTGGCGCGCTCGCACCTGCATGATGCGGGCGCACAGGAACCCCTGCGTCTTGAAGCCCAGCACCTGCTCGCCGGCGTTGGTGAGGCGGATGAAAGGGATACCCTCGTCCTGGTGACAAGGCTGCACAGCCACCAACCACCACACCATCGCCATCCGGGGCGGCGAGAGAGTCGCCCGCAGGAGAGTCCCCACAGACACGGGCCACGAGCACCACCACAAGAAATACAGGCAACAACAGCAGCGAGGGGCAGCGAGCGGCAATTTGGCAGAGGCGCCGAGAGAGAGCAAAAAAGGGTGCATGCTCAACCATAGGGTAGTGACGAGCACCACGAAATAAATAACACCACGGTAGTTAATCAAGCACGGAGAATCATGGAGCGGTAACAGCAGCTGCAGCAGCCACGGAATGACAACACGCCTGCCTTTGCTGCCGTCAGTGTCATTAAATGTATTGTTACACTTGTCTTACCTCGTACACGCTCTTGTAGGCGGCTATCCGCTTGAAGAAGTCCTGACGCACATCGCGCGTAGGACGCATCGTCGTCGCATGGTGATATTGTGAGCAAGTACCAACCGCACAGCCAAGGGCAGCGAAGTTGTGCCCCACGTGGAATGAGAGATGGGCACAACGCGAGAGACGGGCAAGAGGCCCAGGGAAATGAGGTCGGGCGACAAGAAAGACTGCTAAATTGGGTACGTGAAAGCTCCCAAACACAACAAGTACGAAAAAAAAACACAAAACAAAAGTACCTGCGGTAGGGCAAGAGAGCTCGCCAATAATGTAGGAAAGGCGAGAAATCGGAGTAAAGAATCAATAACCAGAGAAATCACGGGAGCCGAGCGTGGATGCATCACATACGGGCAGGCTGCGACCGACTACTAGGGCGGCGGCGAAAAAAAAAGCAAGGCACCCGCTCGTGTCCGGTATGCAAGATATGGGGCCATCGCAGCAAGCCTGTCCGGGGGTACCGAAGGCCTAACACAACATTTTACACAGCAGATGGGCATCGATACGTCAAAGATGTACGGACCCTGGGCTACGGACGCACATGGAAGGCCGAGTTTATGCGAAAACAAGGGGCGTTTCCTCGCCACCCCGTAGCCCCCTCCCCTGCCCTGGTGTCGTGCCTTACCCAGCAGTGCCAGCTCTTGAACAGACCATAGCATCAACAACACATAGGAGCAACCGACCCCACAGCTTTCAACAGAAAGCAAATGCAGTAGCGGGCCCTCAACAACGAACGCCGGTGCGTGCCCGGCGAATCGACCGGCGAAATTCAGAGCACAGCATGACTTGGTCATTCAGTCTGTGCCCGGCGATTTCACCGGGGCTATACAGAGCCAGCGGCGCGATTTAACCGGGTTGTTGACGCCCCCTCACTAAAATACGAAATCCTCTCCCTCACCTCCATGGTCTCCTCTGGTGTCATCCCTTTGTAATCCGGGCTCTTAAGCTTGGCCTCCTTGACATTGTCCCACACCTTTTTCTCGTCCGTCAGCACAGTCTCCACGCACACCAGCTGTTGCCTCGGATTTCACGGAGGCCGGGGGGGCGCGGGGGG